ATTGTAACATCACCTATTTTAACACATTACAGAACGTTATTCAAAAATCAGTAAAATCTAAAAGGTACGAAAACCTCTTCGCAATGTAAAATCCCTAATTAAAGATAATATATCTATGATAGATTTAAAGAACAATCTGCATACATTGTAATTATTAAAAAATCCTTGATCTTTTATATAAATAAAACATTCCTCATAGCTAATTCTTTTAAAACCGAAATATATAGATATCATTGTAACATCACCTATTTTAACACATTACAGAACTTCAATATTTATACATAACACATAAATACAAATTGAATCTAAGGAATAATGGGGTGTAATGTTACGGCGTTAAAATTGTTTCTCAGAGTCAAACGGTTTTTATTTAAATGTTTATGTTGTATAGCATCAAACTATCAGAAATAATTTAAATTTTATATTATTATATTTTTTGGTACATATCATGAACCTGGGTATTAGATAAGCAGATGAAAAATTGTATGATGTATGAATGTAAAAGAATATTGTACTTACGTTTCAGCTAAACTAATGGACCAATCCGTATTATCCGGTGCATTGCTTTCCATGTTTTAAGAATCAAAAAATGCTTTAAAATTCAGAAACATATAGACAACACAGGACATTAACACAACAAACCGTTAACGGATGACATTTAAACAATTTTTAGGAATTGTTTTGATTGGCGGTTGCTTAGTTATATACATGTCTACCAATGCAGAAAACCAAAATCCCCTATAAATAAAACAACGGCTTCTCAAATTTAAACATTTCGTACTCATCATAATTATTTCCTTTATTTTAAGCTATATCTAACATTGCAAGTTAGCTAGAAGCAAATTTAATCCTAATCTAGATATCGAAAAAAGAGTAGTCCATGGATTTTAAACAGAGATATAATTTCAAATCCTAGAGGCCAACATAAATTTATGAAAACGAGCTTGATTAGTTTTGTACATCTCAATTCACTTCCGAATTCTGTACTGTGGAAATTTAAAGATATAGATTCTTGTACACCATATCGAAATTTAAAGCTGTAATACCACAAATTTGGAAAAGATGCATGTTATGTTCAGAACCTCATCTTCTTTTACAAGAAAGTCATTCCTCGGATAAATTCGATTGGATCAGGTTACCCAAATCACTGATCGCGTTCAACATCGCAATAGCGGTTGGTTATGAATTTTGTATTACTGTTGTGCTGAACCAATTTTACTATTTCATATTTCACATAATAGAGGTTTACGAAAAATATATCTGACCTACTAATCCGAGTGCTGCTTACTCTGGTCAGAGTGCTCTTTTAAATTGACTATTTTCGTAAGCACCTAGTCGAAACCGATCTAATCTAACCTCTATCACTATCAAAATCCAATAATTCTACAAATAAATGTGAAAGTGGTACCTCTATGATGTACCACCACGCTAATATGTTCATCTACATCTACCATATCTAAATTGTTATTCGACATATTGCCATTTTTGATTATTTTTTTTTCTATACAAGACAACTGAAGAGAACGAATCCAAGTTCACATTTCATTCAACAGTCAACAAAACAATCTTTCTTTGTAACATAAAACATAACGAAACATGTTTTTAATTTTTTTATTATACCTATAAACAACACGCATGCGCAAATTTCAGATCATTCTTTAATCTGACAAATTTCTCAGATTTTCTATATCTGAGCCACAAAATATACAGAGAGATCGAGAATGATTGACCGGATTCTGAACGTACCCTGTCTCAATTGCTATCAAAACTGATTTCCGTTTGCTAAAATTACTTTTTTTTTCGTGCAATTTCATTGTGTTCTGTGGCGATTTCACAATTTGACGTTCTGTTCATTGGCGCACGGATTTTTTGGCTTGAATATTATTTTGTAGATTTTGTTGTTACCTGATATATTTTGCGACATTATAAAACAGTATTTTTCAATACTACAGTTAGAGTAGGTGGATATTATACGTGAGTAATTAATTTATTGCGTATGTTGTTCTCTAACCTAATCGGTTTTTTAATTTAGGTTAACATGGCATTTTCATTAGAACATGATAAATTTCTTCTGGAGGCCTATTTTCGTAGTGGACAAAACAATGGTAATGGTTGGAAATATTCGATGAATTCGTGTCATTTACAATTTCAAGAACAATTTCCAAATGATGAAATTGATTATGAAATTTTTTCGAGACACGTGAAGAGATTAGTGGAACGCTTCCATAACACTGGAAGTGTTTGTAGAGGAAAATCTCCAGGCAGAAAGTCTATTCTTACAGAGGAAGTCTTGGAAGATGTTGAAAACCGCTTACGAGCTAGTCCAACCAAATCACTACGTCGGTTATCTGCTCAAACAGGTACTTAATAACAAATATTTATTCTAAAATTTGTATCATTATTCCTAAATTGTTTATAGGAATATCATATGGATCATGCCATAAAGCAGTAAAGAAGTTGCATTTTCATCCTTATAAAGTTAGTGTTGTGCAGGAACTACTTCCGTTAGATTTTGGAAAACGTGTGCAATACTGTAATTGGTTTAACGAAAATCTGAATGACGACGATATTCTAGATCTAACATTTTTTTCTGATGAAGCGTGGTTTCATTTAAGTGGGTACGTAAACTCCCAAAATTATCGCTCTTGGAACACAGAAAACCCTAATATTTTGCGTGAAACAACTCTGCACCCTATTAAACTTGGTGTTTGGGTAGCTATGTCACGTAGAAGAATAATCGGACCATATTTTTTCCGTGAAAATGTAACTGGGCAGGTATATCGGCAGCAAATATTGTTACCATTTTTTGAGGAACTTCACGACGATGAAATCCATCATGGATACTTTCAGCAAGATGGCGCAACAGCTCACACCTCTAACGAAACTTTAGAGTTGATTAGAGAGTATTATGATGATCGAATAATTAGTCGAGATAGATGGCCACCACGTTCTCCTGACCTTACACCCCTAGACTATTATTTATTTGGTTTTTTAAAAAATTCAGTATTTGCTCAACGGTTACACACGATTGAAGAACTTCAAGAGGCAATTACAAACGAAATTAGGAGTATTACACAAAATGTTTTACAGAATGTATTTAATAATATGAAAAGAAGAATTAATACCTGCTTGAACAACAATGGACATCATATTGAACATTTATTGTAAAAATATAGATATTTTTATGGATTTTATGTAATTTTAAGGTAAAATATTCAATAAAATGTGAAAAAATTCCAATTACTCTGTTATTATATATTGCATGTAACTGTTGTTTATTGCTCTCGGTCATACAGACAATCCTACCATCTAACATAATCAAGCACTTCCAACTGCTTGCATTTGCTTGAAGCAAATTTTTTTAAGACACTTTTCCTGAATTTCGACAGCTAACTAAAATGTTCAGCATAAATTTTTGGGCTGGATCGCTTGCGCTGGATATTCAGAAGTGTGAAAGCAGTAGCTGCAAAATAGTCGTCTTATAAGCATACAGCAGTTTGCTTTGATGAAAAACAGCAGCTTGCAGCGTATCGCTGTATAGCTGAATCGTCTTAGATGCCAAGAATGTAGCCACAATAGTGCTTCTGTTTTAAAATTAACTCATAACGTTTTAAAAATAAAATCGCTGAAGCACTTACAGTCGTTATTCAAAATTAGCTACATCAAACTTTGATTTAAAAGTTTTTCTAATTGTAAATGAAATAAGAATTTTGGAAAAGTTAGGCTAAACCTACATTTGATTCTGTCATCCTCTTTAATAATAATAACATTTATTGGTCCATCAGTATTGCTTAATTTGTGAAATAACTGATTTTTGTTAAATAATTGATATTTTTATTATGATTTTCCATTTTGACAGTAACCTAATTTATTTGACGTTTGAACGTAATTATTTGTTTACCATTAAAATTAGTGATGGGAGATTTCGAGTGAAAAATCGAGTGGTACTCGATTATTGAGATCACTCGAGATATCTCGAGATGTTTACTCCCACCACTCGAGTGATTATTACCCTACGGTTGCACCCCAAAATGTTAGTGCATACTGCAAATAGTCACTGATTGCGTAACCTTTTTTTTAGAATAAAACGAAAAAGTGGTTAGGTTTTGAAGTGCGTGAGCTTTTTTTTTTTTTAGCTACGCTTATAAGTAATATATGACTAATACAAACATATTTGTGCGCCGCTGAGATGAAAACGACCAATATCTCGTATCTCGAGTGATCACTCGATTATTAGAAGTACTCGATTACCGATAACTCGATTATAAAAATTAGTCGATTATGCCCATCACTAATTAAAATCCCTCAACCTGCGCTCATGATTCTAGTATTGGTATCAAAAACTGGTATGCCGCACATCAAAAATCAGTATGAGGCGGCACGGTCAATCATTCTCGATCACCCTGTATAATATCTGAGCATTGAGGTTGCATTTTCGTAATGAGATCGAATCAAAGTAAATATTCGTAAGGCATTTTCTTGTTCCGACCACTCCGATACAATTATCGTAAACCCCTAATGATCTTCATCTTGTTATTCTTTAGTCTTTACCAATAATTCAACTTTTTTTAAATTTTCGATGTTACCCCCACTTGTTCTTTTCCTTAAAAAAATCACGAACTGCAAAAGTTAAATTTAGATTATCTGCGATCAGTGATCGTTAAAAAAAAAATCTGCTATATAAAATTGCTCCCGATCAGAGAATGATGTATACCTAATAAAATTATACAGTTCAGACAATGATCAGGGGGAAATTAGTTAGCGTTCAATATTTTAAACCCGATCACCGATTTGCACACAATTTTATTTTACCAGTATTTAGCAATAATAAAATTGCTTACGAGTGGAAAGACTACTCGTATCTTTTTCTCAAATAGGCTGACAATGCCTGATGATTTGAAATCCAACTTATTTTTTTTTCAGTTTTGTAAAATACTACTCAAATTGGCAAACTGTGAAATGATACAGGCGATGTTTAAGTCCATTTTATTTGGAGAAAAAATACTTTTGAGAACCACAAATCACAAACATTAACCACTGGAAATAATTTAAATTGCATTCAATTATTCAATTGTCGATGCATATTTTTTTAAAGATTTTACAATTTAAAGTTAATGATTGGGGATTAAAGGAAATGAATACAATAATTTTATTCACTATTAATTATATTTAATAAAATTTCCATCTTCTCCTGTTCCTCTAGTTTTTTTATCAATTGATCTAAAGGCTCGCCCCCTTCAAAAAAAACTTCTAAATTATGAATGTTAGAACCAGTAAGCCTATGATCAGTAATACGATCTTGATTGTAATTATAAGTCCTGATTTTTTCATTTCGATTCTTATTCCTTACTTGATTCTTCTTTGTTGCGAGAGTTTCTGCAATTTGACTATCTAATTCTTTTTGATATAAAAGAGCATTTAATCTTGCCATAGCCATTTTTCTATTTTTTATTTGAGATCTATCTACCTGGCATTCAACGGATATACCACTTGGTAAATGTGTAATTCGAACGGCACTATCAGTGGTATTTACATGCTGTCCACCGGCCCCTGTGGACCTTTTTGTTTCTATTTTTAAGTCTTTAGGATTAATATTTACTTGTATGTCTGTGGGTTGAGGGAGAGCAGTTACAGATATAGTACTAGTGTGAATTCTACCTGTTCTTTCAGTAACAGGTATACGCTGAACTCTATGAATACCAGCTTCATGTTTAAAATGTTGAAAAACAGTTGGTCCGTTAATTAAAGCTACTGCATGCCTCACGCCACCAATGTCTGTAGTAGGATAGTCAGCAATTTGCAGCTCCCAACCTGTAGGACAAATTTTTAAATAGTTAATAAATTATTTTCTACATTTTCATTGCACCTTTATATTCCGCATAATTACAGTACATATCAAATATTTCTTTTGCAAATAACATAGCCTCTTGTCCACCAACTCCCGCTTGAACTTCTAAAACTATAGCATTACAGGCATCTTCCTTACTAACTGGCAAAAGTGTTTCTACTAATTTTTCATCAATTTCTTTAATTTTATCTGCAAACTGGAGTTTCTCTTCTTCAGCTAATTTTTTAATTTCAGTATCACTTTCTTGTAACAATTCTTTCAAGTTATTAATATTTTCCACAAATGTTTGGCGTTCTTTCAAAATTTGTACTACTGAATGCAATTCCATCCACCTCGAATTTTTAGAGTAATTTTCATCTTTGCAAATGTCTTTATATTCTTTTTCGAGTTTATTAATGTAATTGTTTAAAGATATATCATTTATTTTTAAATCAATATCAAAGTTATCTTTACTTTTAGACGGCAAACTACTGTAAAAATTTTTATATATTTTACTCGTTGATGTGACACTTCTTAAACTTAAATTATTTTTATATTTCTTGGGGTGAATAACAGACAATACCCTTCTTATGTGGCTCATCGTCACAACACAAACAATGTACATAACTACATATGGCAAAAATCAAAAAATACATATGTATTTATATTATCTGTCAAGCATTTGAAATAATTTCAGCAATTTTAATCACATGTACAATTTATTATGTTGTGCGAGAACATGTTTTGAGTTTAAGTTAATTCAATACATAAATATAAAATAACAAAATTTAAGGTTATCTTTTACATTTGTAGGGTAGTATTAAGGGTTTACGAAAAATATATCTGACCAACTGATCCGAACGCTGCTTACTCTAGTCAGAGTGCTCTTTTAAATTGACAATTTTCGTAGAGAAACCGATCTAATCTAACCTCTATCACTATCTACATTGGTAATGGGCAGAATCGGGTATTTTTAAGAATCGAGAACTCGGTTCTCGAATACTTTTAAGAATCAAATGATTATCCGAAACCGAGTACCGGATCGCGGAGACGGTGGCGCGGACGAAGACCACCAGGACTAGGCTCTATCCCTTACTCAAAGGTGGAAACACCCTCAGTTTAAGAAATAAGCGAACGCTTATCAAGGTGGTACTTCAACCGCAGCTAAGCTACGCCTCCACGTCGTGGGGTCACGCGGCAAAAAGCCACTTAAAGTCATTACAGGCTGTGGAAAACATAGCCCTCCGCTTGGCCACCGACGCGCCCTGGTACGTAAGAAACTCTGACATATTACGAGGCTTACAATACACAAACGCTACACAGACAATAAGACAAAACGCGGAGAAACGGTTTGACGTAGCCACTAGACATGATAATCCCCTCCTCAGGCAAGCCGTTGACTACGTACCCGACGTGACCGAGAAACATAAAAGACCTAGAGTAGACACCAACTTTTTGACCCTGGGTGACCACCCCAACGATATCCTCCCCCCCCCCTTAACTTTTCTGTTTCAGAGACCGCCAGGATCAAGAAACGAAGACAACGACACACACACACACACACACACACACACACATACACACCCCCCCAAACCCTCCTTACTTCTCCCCTCCCGCGCTAGTCTAAGGGCCACCTTAGCAAAGCGCATCCCAGGCTGCATAGCCGGCAGCCGCACTACCCTACCCAACCATCCACACATAAACATAACACCTCCCCCGGGGTTTACACAGACGAGCCGGCGAAGAAAGAAGAGAGCCAGAAGAAAGAGCCCTAGCCAGCGGGGCCCAGTCAGGACAGAAGTCCCACAAAGCGCCTACACCGGCCGCATTTGCGGTCGGGGTAGACGACGGATGGAGCCCACCTACGAAGGCTGTCCAGGCCTACACGAGATGAGGCAGGATAAAGATGGATAACCCCCCTCGATCCCAAATCATTGAGGCCAATTTCTAGCCATGGAATAATGGCGCGGCGCTATCTAAGTATACTCAAAGGTAAAAACGGAAAAATGTCTGCTAAAGTCACATGTCACAGCTAAAGTTTAATTTAACTGTCAAAAGTGTCAAATTGTAAATGTGTTTTGCATTGCGCGGGAGGAAAGATATTTTCAGATAATTTCAGTTATGTTCTCTTGAATTATGTATTTATAATTGATAATAAACAGTAATAATGTCACGAGTAAGTTATATTAAAAACCATCAAACATGCGTAATAATTACTATAATTTTTAAGGATATTAGATCATTTTTTAATGTGATTTCAAAAAAGTCTAATGTTAATAGTAGCCGCCCCCAAGAAATAAAGCCGAAAAAATCGAAATTGACTATAATTGATTCTGACGACGATGATATAATCGAAAGTACACCAGAGCAAAGTCATTCAAAAGTAAGTGTAACTAAACGTAAGGTTATAGCTATAAATTCAGATTCAGACGAAGATTCAAAGCATAAAGTAAAAACTCCAAAGAAATCTAAAACTAAAAATACTGGTAAACTAAAACCCGTAAATATAGATGATGTTTTTGGTAATACACCTATAAAACAAAGTAAAGTAGAAGCGGTGCCTGTTATCAAAGAGTCGGTTGAAAAAAAACAAAAGAAAAATCGAAAACCTAAAACTGAAATAGGTGTACATAATGATGAAGATTTTGAAAAAACGTTATTGGAATTGGATGATGAAGTTTTAATACAAAATGCCGATATTTTGGACAAGACAATTGAAAGAGCTTTACATAAGGATGTTCCAAATGTTAAGAATACACCTACAAAGGAGAAATCAAAACATGAAGGGGAGAAAAAAAGACAGAGAAGAAGTTCTTCAGAAGGTAAGAGTTATTATATTATTGTAATGTTTGTTACTTAAATTTAAATATTCTTCTACAATTTTATATAAATCGGTTATATAATAATAGTCAAGTATATATAGACAATAATTAATTAAAATATTTATGTAATCTTCGATGTTGCAATTATTTCATTAATTTTTCACTTTTTTTAAGGTACGCCTCATAAAAAAGCAAAACTTGAACACTCCGATTCGGGAATTGATCCTGATCAAGAGGCTTTTGAGAGGAAAAGATATTCTGCTATGTTATATCAAAAATATAAAAACCGTGGTGGACCTAAACATCATGGTGAAAAAGAAATACCACAAGTAAAATTTAATAAATCAGTGTTTAATTTGTACTTATATGTTCATTTTAGGGTAAACCTGATTGCTTGAAGAACCTAACGTTTTTACGCACTGGGGTTCTAGATTCTTTGGAAAGTAACGAATTTGAAAATTTAGTTAACGAACATGGGGGAAGAGTGGTACATGCAGTGTCGAGTACTATACTAAGTTGTTTTTAACTTTAACCTTTGTTTAACTGGATGTTTTTTCAGAAAAAGTCAACTATATAGTCGTAGGTGATGATCCTGGGCCATCAAAGTTAGATAAAGCAAGGGGTTTCAATATCCCCGAAATTTCAGAAGATGACCTGTTGGATATGATACTGGTAAAATCTGGCATGAAACCTAAATTTTCTAAAACCAAATCAGATGTATCAAGTGAATCAGGTATTGCAACAGAAGATGAAATTTCACCAAAATCAAGAAAGAAAGCAAAGTCACCAGAAAGTAAAATCTTAAAAGAAGGCAAAGAGATGATCAAACATGAAACGTCAATAAAAAAAGAAGAAAAATTAGCTCGTAAGACTGACAACAAACTCAATTTTAATCAACTTTCAGATGTAAAAACTAGTTCAAACAACGATATGCATAAGTCTAAAGATGAAAAAGTATTGGTCAAAGAAGAGTTACATTCACCGAAATCAAAACTCCAAAGCAGTAAAAACGTTAAATCTGAGGTTAAATCCGAGAATTTATCCCAAAAAGGTTTCGCAAAAATAGAAATACCTAATTCTGCATTGACTTGGACAGAGAAATATAAGCCAAAGGATATTAAAAGTATAATTGGTCAGCAAGGTGACAACAGTAATATGAACAAGTTAAAGAAGTGGTTACAAAATTGGTACAGGAATCAACAGCCCGAAGTTCGAAAAAAAATTCCTAGACCATCCCCATGGGCTAAAAATGACGATGGTGCTTACTACAAGGCCGCATTGTTAAGTGGACCTCCAGGAGTAGGTATGTCTATTCACACATTTCAGACATTTGTATATTATAAATTGTTTAATTTTTTTTTTTTAAAGGAAAAACTACGACTGCCACTTTGATTTCAAAAGAGTTAGGATTTGATGTTGTTGAATTTAACGCATCAGACACGAGAAGTAAGAGATTATTACATGAAGAAGTGGCCCAATTGTTAAGCACAAATACTATTGCAGGATTTGCTGCAGGTAACACTAAAAATAATTGAGAATTTGTGAAACTTCCTATTTGTTTTTGTATAAACAGGGTATAGCAAAAGTACCGGAATGGCATAATAACTCGGCGGGAGAGTATTTTAGAGAAAAATGTTAAATACAAAAGTTTGAGATGGGTCCTAGCATCTCCTTAGACTGACTACAACCACTGATTCCCCACCACCAGTTCATGTGCTCCTGGTTGACCCAGTCCCCAGGTCAAAAGAGAGGGGTTACTCAAGGTCATATCTGAACGTAAAATTTTCCGCTCTTCATTTCTGGGTTCAAAAGTTTAGTAGCATTTGAAAAATCACAATTAACCTTGAAATGATCTTCAAGGTCGAGGTCACCATCGGATAGCCAGGGAGAAATCCTGAAACTTTAGTAATTAACATTTTTCCCTAAAATGCTCTTCCGCCGAGTTATTCTGCCGTTCCGGTACTTTTGCTATACCCTGTATACAGATTGTTATAAATTCTGTCAAAAAAGTATCCGGAATTTGTCAATAAAACACAATATATTCAATTAATCCTCAAAATGTATTTGATCTTCTTCAAAATATACTCCATTTGAAGCAATACCCTTTTCCAACGAATAACTTAGTCATCAAAGCACTTTTTACACATATATTTTTGTTTTATGACTTCTATCGACTGGAAGCATCAGGTGGCTACTCGATGAGTTGGTTGAGTTTTTGCTCAAAAATTCATTCACAATTATCACTTTGTGTGCATTATTGTGGTGCAAAATCTGAGAATTGTTCTTCCATAAATCTGGTCTTTTGTTGTGTATGCTCTCTCTCAAACGCCTCGTAACACCCAGATAATATTTGTCGTTGACTGTTTCCATCCAGAAGGAGTTCTGTGTGGACAACATCGCAATTGTCAAACAGTCAACATGACTGATTTTTGATCAACTTTGACGTGTCTCTTTTGGTTTCGAATCGTCATCAGAAAAGTGCCATTTCGAAGCTTGCTGGCTGTAAACCCATGTCTCGTCACCCGTTATGATGTATTGCATGAATGTAGAGCTCAAATTAGCTCCTTTAAGTATGTCTTCAGCAACATGTTTGTGGTGTTCTTTTTGAAGAAAGTTCGGCTCTTTTGGAACCAGCCCTTCTATGACGCATTTCAATCCAAAACATCAACTGAAATGGTGCATATTGATTTGTGAGATATGTACTTATAGTTCATATGCAAGCTCTCTCAAACTATAAAGACGGTTTGTGAGCCCCATTTCCTCCACCTTATCGATGTTTTCTTCAGTTGAATACGTTGAAGGATGACCAGAATATGGCAAATCATCAACCACTTCTCGACCATGATTGCACCATTCGTATGCTTGAGTTTACGATAAAACTAAATTACCATACGTCTTTCCCAACATTTTCAATTCAGTACAAGAAATTCCCTTGATAGCAAAAATTTTAAGCAAACTTTTTGTTCAATAACATCCATATTAAAAATCGCAGAATACACTTTAGGTAGACTAACAAAATTAACAGCTGTAAACAAACTATTTGACAGATCACACTCAAACTTGGTGTCAGTATATTGCTGCCACTTTCCATCAAAAAATAAATTTAACTCTACTTTCTGCGGAATTTTTAAATGACAAATTCCAGACACTTTTTTGACAGAATGTATATTTTACCAACAAGTGATTCTGTGATTGAAATTAAGAAAAAAAGTTAGTATGGACATTAGTCGGCAGACGCTTAGTTTTTGATATGCAATCTAATAATTACCAGAGTACTAATCTGAATTTTCTTATTAAATTGAATAAATGGTCAAGTTATAACTGATTTAAACTACAATTAAACTGATCTACGCCAACGCTGATTAACTCCCAAAATCGTTTGGATGTATGCGCTTGTTAGCATTGCCCATTGTTACTTTTTAAAATCAACTGTATTAAACTAAAGGAATTGTAGAGAGAGAAACTGCATTGGAAAATAATTTCTTAAAAACAGATTTCTTTTGCATGACTGCGTTTTATTATTTTATAGTCACCATACTTTGCCAAACATTACAAAATTTTTTTAATAAATACTAATTACTATTTTTTAAAGCACTGTGTTTAGTTATGAATTTCAGTGTCAATGACCTCTAGCATTAATGTAGTTTTAATGAACTACCCACAAAATACTAATGCATCTGATGTGATATGACAACAAGGTTAATTCAGAGAAATGAGAATGACCAAATATATCATGGCCTCATGTTAATTAGGCAACAACACATTTATAATATTTCACATAACTTTTTTCTGTATCTCAAAAACGAACCAATGTTCATATGAACTTTCTTTTCCCATCTTAAGCCAAAAAATCACATTCAGAGTTTTTTCCGTGCAACATTGCAGTATCTATTTATGAAACTTATTTTCAGGCAAGAAAACGACTGATAAAAAAAGGGTTTTGTTGATGGACGAAGTAGATGGTATGGCAGGGAATGAAGACAGAGGGGGAATCCAAGAGCTCATAAACCTTATAAAAAGTACACATATCCCCGTTATCTGCATGTGTAATGACAGAAATCACCAAAAGATGAGATCGTTAGTCAACTACTGTTTCGATCTAAGGTTTAATAAACCTCGAGCAGAACAAATCAGAGTAATAGACCATATAAAATTAACTCGTTATATCGCTAATAAATCATTTTTTTTAGGGGGCGATGATGTCTATTTGCTTCAAGGAAGGCATCAACATTTCTCCTAATGCTCTAACGGAACTCATACAAGGTGCAGGCTGTGATATCCGCCAAACGTTAAACCACTTGTCCATGTGGTCAGCTGCAGACAAGAACTTGTCTCCTGAAATGGTACGAAAAGAAGCTAAAGCAGCCAAGAAGGATACGGTTTTAGGTCCGTGGGAGGTCGTAAAGCTTGTCTTCTCCAAGGACGAGCAGAAAAATATGAGTTTGTCGGATAAATTAAGATTGTTTTTTTATGATTACAGTCTGGGTCCTCTTTTCGTTCAGGAGAATTACCTGAATGTGACTCCTAGTTGTGATAGGTAAGTGTAAATACATTGCAAATTTGTTCGATCTCCTTGAACTGAATGACAAAAAAACTGGAGAATGCATCTTCGATATTAATAAAAATATTTGAATGAAACTTGAACTATAAAATATACAAGGTGACCTATTTTAATATACCAGGCCGCATAACTTTTTTAATTGGATTTATATAAAAAAAATATTTCAAATAAAAATTGTCAGGTTTCAAGAGGGTCAAATTATGGTGACCTTGAAGTCAATTATCAAAGTCAAACAAATGTGAGGTTTCAGGGGATCAAACTACCGTGACCTTGAAATTAGCCTTAAAGTCAGTTGTCAAGGTTATTTCAAGGTCAACCTTGACTTTTTAAATGGACACTCCTATTTTTTATTGCAGATTCATATTATGCGGGAAAAATATGAAACATTTTTTTGAAAATGTTTCATTCGCACCAGAGTCTATACTTTTACTGTTCCATTTTAATTCTCAAGAAATAAACAGGATGGTGAAAAATATTTCCAACAAAAGTTGTCAGGTTTCAGGTGATCAAATTACCGTGACCTTGAAATTAACCTTAAAGTCAGTTGTCAAGGTTATTTCAAGGTCAACCTGGATTTTTTAAATGGAAGCCCATATTTTTATTACAGGAAGCCTTTTGAAGAGAAATGCTTCATACAAAAGTTACGTTCTGCAGAATATGAATCTAATAACCTTGTGGAGACATAAACAAAAGTTTGAGTGCACTTTAAAAAATAAATTATAACTATTTATTATTAAAAATAATAATAACTTCAGATTAGTATTCTAGAGAACACGTACTATTATGCCTAAAAAAAAGGGCCCCCTCCAGTGGCGGCTCGTGAAGGAGAACTCTGGGACTCCGCCCCCCCAGATATTTTCAAACTATAAACTTAAAATAATGTATTTATTTACATCAATAAGAAATCTAAATAGCAAGCATTCAATATATCTTGGATGTTAGGGTGGTTGCATAAAGTGCATGTACTCCGTGAACGTAGCTCAGATTAATGCCATCTGCCATCTATGATGTTACCAAAGAGTTATGTTTGACCGCGTGCGCAATCCCCACTCCATCGCGGACTGTGAAATCTGAGTCCATAGTGCAAGCATATTTTTACATATGATTGGACAAATTGGCACGTGAAGGAGATAGGCGACGATAGGCTCGCGCGCTCACGCTGTTTGTTTTGGGACTCCATGAGGCAGTAACCCGTATCACTGAAGTGTGGTTATACGTGTTTTGTTTTTGCTTTGGCGCTTTTTAAGACATTAAATTTTATAAGTTTAAGTTTAAAATGAGGGTTTGTGAAATAAAAAAACTTGTTATTAGTAATTTAAGTTTAGAGGAAGAAGTTGAATTGAAAAATAACGTCGTCCAACGCCAGTGTTGAATTCAGTTCAGGTGCAGAAAGAGTGCAAAAGTAGGCCGGCTTTTATTCGCAAATTTGATAAAACATTTATGATAAGACACATAAGACACACAGGTTGTGTGTGTTGTGTGGTTGTGACGAAATAGATTTTTTTGTTTTGTATGTATATTGTTTGGAGGAGGCCAAGAAAACTGGACGAAAACTGGAGTTTTTGACTTGAAACATTAACCGGACAAAATTAAGAAACAAACATTCTCCTAAATACAAAAATAAGTTGGTGAGTTTTTTACTTTTAGGAAGAGTAAATATTGCTTCTTGTTTAAATAGTGCTTATGCAGAACAAATAAATAGTCATAACGAAACAGTTAAGAAAAATCTATTGCTTTTTTCAAAAATTATAAATATCTTAAAACTATGTGGTACATGTAACCTTCCTCTTCGTGGACATAATAAAAAAAGTGCCTCGGTAAACAAAGGGGTATTTTTAGAACTGATAAGACTATAGTGCAAAAATTGATCCCGTTTTAGATCAACATCTTAGTGATGCCCATGTTTTTAAAGGAACTTCAAAAACTATACAGAATGAACTATAACAGTAATCTACATAATTATATCCTAACTGGGTTGGTTGATCGATTATCCACTTCAGCCCCCACACGTTGGAATTTTACTTATTCTCGCATTGTATCTAAGTACATACCTACTGTACACACTGACAGTATTCATTTTAGGGTACTTGCAAAACACAATGACCTTCAAATTCCTTAAAATTTTTCGCCTGCGGCGCTAAATAAAATTACTTTTTTTCTGATCATTTAAAACGAGGAGCCAATACATAAACATATAGTAGTGTAATATTTATTATTACTGTAAAAATTGTATTGTTTCAGCAAAGAATTTATGAAGAGAGCCTCACTTGCTGCAGATGCAATCAGCGTCGGAGATATTATCGATTCGAGGATAAGAAGTGGGAACAACTGGGCATTACTAGAAACCCAGGCCATATTCTCATCTGTCTTACCAGGATTTTACATGTCGGGTAACGTAACAAGCCGAATCAACTTCCCCGGATGGTTAGGAAAGAATTCGTCTGCCAATAAACATAAAAGAATGTTGTGTGAATTACATGCTCACACAAGGACAAGCACTTCAGGCAATAGAATGGCACTGAAATTGGACTACTTAGTACCGTTAAGAAATGCTGTTATAACTCCACTGAGAAAATATGGTACGGACGGTGTCCATCAGGCTATCGAAGTTATGAAGTCCTATAATTTGCTACGAGAGGATTTAAATAATTTAATAGAGCTTTGCCAATGGAAGAATTTGAAGAATCCTTTTAATGACATTGATGCAAAAGTATGAATATCATTTTGAAAAAGGTATATTTTTTCTTTCTTTTGTTTTTTTTCAGGTAAAGTCTGCTTTTACGAGAATTTACAACAAGGAAGCTCCTCTTCTGCCGTTTGCAGCACATACGGGCGTATCTAAAAAGAAAGCAGCCGCTGTGGAAACTGACCTGTTAGATGACGAAGAGTTTGTTGAATCCGATCAAGAAGAAAACGATGACGTAACTGCAGATGCTATGATTAAGGTCTGATAGAATTTATTATTTTGCTATTAAATTTGATGTAATATACAGGGTGTAACTTTGAATGGGGCTTATATTTATATGGCGGTTACCTTTGACTTTTAGAAACATAAAGGTTTGTTGTCTCAAATGCAGTTGCAAATTGCAGGCCAATGTAACCTCAAACATCTACCTGCAGTAGCCGCGAGTGCATACCAAATTGGGAACTACAACATGTATTGTCAAATCTCATCTTTCTTGATTTGTATACATCTTTTTTCATATCACATAGAAATTTATCAATAAAGACATACAAATGTACCACATATCAGGGCGGATCTGTTTTGAGGTGGATGTGAGAGGGGGCAAGCAATTTTTTTCTGGATTACCTTCAGTACAACTCAAATAATAAAAGTGTAGATCCCTAGATTTGGGTGATGTCCAGGGCATTTTCAAAATTGCAAAAATGTTTAAAAAATTTTAAAAAATACCTATTTTGTCTTTAGTTTTTTACTTATATCTTGGAACCTATACATTTTGGAGGAATATTGAAAAGGAAACAAAAATTTAGAATAGAATTTTGCACAATATACTGCAAGTTGAAAATTTTTAAATTTATTGCCGTTGTTGCAAAATAGCAATAATTGATGAAAAAAAGGCAAAAAAAATTTTTTTTTAAATGTTTTAATTGCTCCGAGGGCATTCTAATTTTGGTAAAAAAAAAACTTAAGAGTATAATAAAACAACATCAAATTTTATTAAAATCGGTTCGATAGTTTTCGCAAAATAATTTTTGAAAAAATTTTGAAAAAAAATTTTCGAATTTTCAAAATTTTGCACCGCTTCATCACCGCATCTAGATACTTGAAAATTTTGTCACATAGAAAAGACCGCTCAACCTTTGAAATGGTTTTTGAAAAATTGAAATCAATTGATTAGGACACGTGTGAGCGACAACTTTTCCGCTGATTTATCTATGTTGCCGATAACTTTAAAAATTTACTGTGGCCGTCCTAATCAACCGATTTCAATATTTCAAAAACCATTTGAAAGATTGAGCGGTCTTTTCTATGTAAAAATTTTTTTAAGTATCTAGATGCTTTGTTTGAGGCTGCAAAATTTTGAAAATTCAAAAATATTTTTTCAAAAAATTATTTTGCGAAAACTATCTAACCAATTTTAACTTGGTGTGTTGTTTTATTATACTATAAAGATTTTTTTTAACCAAAATTAGAATGTCCTCAGAGCAATTAGAACATTTTAAAAAATTGCCCAAAAAACTTACTTTTTGCCTTTTTTTCATCAATTATTGCTATTTTGCAACAACGGCAATAAATTTAAACATTTTTAACTTACAGTATATTGTGCAAAATTCAATTCTAAAATATTTTTTCCTCTTCAATGTTCTTCTAAAATGCATAGGTTCCAAGATATAAGTAAAAAACTCAGATAAAATAGGTATTTTTTTAAAATTTTTTAGACATTTTTGCAATTTTGAAAATGTTCCGGACCTTGCCCAGATCAAGGGATCTACACTTTTATTATGTGAGTTGTACTGAAGGTATTCCAGCAAAAATTAGCTTGACCCCTCTTACATCCAAGACGTGGGATATTTAGACAGATCCGACCTGGTCTACCATATCATCATTGAAATACAAACCGTAAGACACTTCAGTACATAGTTGAATACCACCTTAAATTTTACTATAAAATTAAACATGATAAAATACTATAACACTGCGCTATACAAATTCTATATTGATTCCAGTAAAAACTAATACTTCATGCAGAAAGTCAGGAAATTACTTATCGTATTACGAATACCTTATTGTAGACTAATAAACTAAAAGGTGGCATATTCGGCCATTTGTTTCTTGCCCGCCTATTGCCTTGTCATATTACATCAGGTGGATTGATATATATTTCTCCTAAACTGAGTCAACCTCCCAGGTCACTGAGATTCAGAAACTAAACACAGTGCTTTAAAATATAGTTTATTGAATACTCGAAATGGAGAAGAAAGAGTTAATAGTTACTTTAATTTATTTTTATTATGTATTACAGCAAAAATTATGATTTGGTTTGGTTTTACTTACAATTAGTAACATATACCAATCCAGAAAGCAATATTAGTTAGTATTTATTAAATCAAGCAAAAAATTTATAAAAATGCAATTCCTTTACAGTTTCGCTCTCTGCCACTTTGTTAGTTTCATACAGGTGGTTTAAAAAGGGAACAGTAGGCGACACTGACAAGTGTGCACATACAACCGAATTCGAGGACTGACCAGTGTCAAGTGCAGTTTTGAAAATGAATTAGGTGTGTTTGCAGAATGTAATTTCAACCGATTGTCAATTGTTCACTGTGCATGTGCGGCTTCAAACCGATTTCAAATTTTGTGCTCTACAAACATATTAAAAACGCTGAAGTGAATCGTGACTGAATGACCATAAATATTTATTTATTTCAAATTTATATTTTCGACTTATTTTGAACAGATTCATCCTCTGTTTGTTTGTCACTTCGGTTATATATTATAATTAAATGTATTAAAATGATTAATTATGTTATTCTCTCGTACCTCACAGCATAGAACAGTCCACAACTCGTAAGTTTTGTTGTGCGAACATCAAATTTTTAGTCAGGAGTCATGGATTATCACTGCATGAACGCTTTTAACCTATCATGCATGTGTCATACATTTGCTGATAGTTTTTGACTGTTGTACGAACAAAGCTATTATAAAACAAATATTTATTACATCTTAGAAACTGACCCCACTTAAAGTTACATCCTATATACAAATAATAAAAGCAGATTAATCCTTATTTAGTAAAGTTGAAGTATGTATGCAGGATTGAGGATTGACTGGCCAAATTTAAAATTTGGGTAGTCAAAATATGTTTTAAAAAAGTTCTATGAAAAATGTCAGAAAATTGCTCGTTTCAAATTTAACCCTCAAAGGTCACATTTGGGGTAGGCCCCCTTAAAGGTCACACTAATGCGAATTGGGATTTTTCCAATTTTGAACCTTTATGTCTTCTTTATTTGTTAACGAAAACAACGTATTTACATCAAAACTGGGTTAAAATTTTCCGAGAATTCGAACAATGTAATTAAGTTTGAAAAATATATTCATTTGTTAATAAAAAAACGATTGAAAAAAAACATATTTTGAAAAACGACTTCTTAAATTTGTGTTTTTTTAGAAATAATGACTAGAGAAAAAGTAAAAAAAGATTTTGAAGTTCAAAATCTATATTTTTAAGAAAAAAATACCCCTTATTGATAAAATGATATTATCGATTTTCCCCGTATCTCAAATATAAGCATTTTTTAAAGTTCTGATTTTTGGCTCCTTTTCTGTAAATTGATGTTTATTTTGAACTCATTTGTATAAAACATATTAATGTAAACCTTATTATCCATAAATATTGACAAATACATGTTACAATTAAATTATTAATAAAAAAAATTTTTGAAAAATTATTTGCAATAACTAAATAAACAATGTTCTAGTCTATTCAACACGTAAAATGAATGAATGTGAACAAAATCGAAAATTTGCATTTCAATTCACTTTATTTCTAGATTGTATGATATAAATTCAGCCACACTTTTGCCCACACTAAAGTCACACTAGTGAGAATTTGCACCGATCAGGCTTTTCAGACAGTTTGGCCGACAATAACAGACTGAGGCCAGCTATGGTACGGCTGGACTGTTTGGGTTATAGAAGGATTTATCATGGTGGGGGGAACCAACCCTCGTCAGCTGCTACCTGAGAAATGCCATACGTTAAAAAAAAAAGGTGGTGCAAATTCGCACCAAGGTGACCTTTGAGGGTTAATAAAATTCACGTTTTTTAAAATATCACTGGAGATATACAATGGTGAAGCTGAATCTGCTGTTTTCAAATATAAACCAGTATAGGATACGAGGATCAAAAAGTAACGAGAATTGTTAATTTACTCAGAATGTATTTATTTAATCTTTAGTTTCTATCCCATATTCCCCTCAAAGTGGTCCCCCTGTGATATACACTTATGTCAACGTAGTTTCCAGTTTGAAAAGCACTGGTAGTGTCTCTTTAGGTATCGTCTTGAGCACGATTGTGATTTTTTTCATTGTCTCATCTATTGTTGAAAAACGTCCTTTGAGTATTCTTTTCAGTTTAAATAAATAAATAACAATAATATTTTAACTTATGATTGCGGAAGAGAAGAAGTGCTTGGTTGATAATATTTTTCGGATGATTTTAACCTTTTTTAGCAATTCGTTTTGTCCTTTTGCATACTGATAAAATTCGTACATATATTATAGTTCACTTTATATTGTAAAATTGCTTCCATAGATTCTGGAGGTAACCGATTCCTTTCATCTGCCCACTGAGCAGACATCAACGAAAAAACTCTCTCTACTGTGGCATTATGGGTGGGAACTGCAAACAAATTTTCACAGAATTTTAATATTGGGATTTTTTTCATAGTGTTCAGTATTCTTAAAAAAAAAGCCATCTCTTCAACAGAACCTTTGAACTTCCAATTCTCTGAAGAAAGACTGATCTCTAAAAAGTTCTGTAGACACACAAATTGCTGAAAGTGCAGGCAACGGGGTATTATTTAGGACTAGGCAATTGATTGGGACTTTTAATAGTCTTGTTGGGACAAAGTAGCCAATAACGGTAACAGTTCTGATATATCGGGATGTATGGCAACCCTACAACGGTATTGTGTTTCACCAAAAACTATTGGACAAGCAAAGCGGCAGATATTTTAGTGTGAATTTTTTTCAAATTTCAACACCATGTATCTTGGAAACGAAAAATTTTTGGACATTTCTTCATAAGACTATCTATATATTGAACACTCGAATTCAAATTAATTAATGTTTTACAGGTTAAAACTAATTCAAAGGGTAAAAAAGAGCCTAAAGCCTCAACGAGTAAAGCAAAGACTACATCTAAAGCCACTAAAGGAAAAGGGAAAAAGCCAAAATAAGTCGCCCTTATTCATAACAGTTTGATTTTATTATGAATAATTTATTTTTTACATGCATCATTTTTTATAACTAGTTTCTGTTATGTTTTACTGTTTGCCTTATATCGACCCAAAATGTAAATATTTTGTTCCATGTAATTATTTAACCTTTATTTTTTACACATTATTGATCAAGCAAATTTATATATACTCCTGTTTGATCAATATTGTATTAGAGACTGTATTTTTTTGAAGCAGCTTTTTTAATAAAATAACTTACCTTGAAATCGTTTTCCTGCTTTACAACAAATAGTGTATTTAATTAAAAAACTTATAATTTAAAATGTTTTTCCACCAGAAAGTGGTCTTTATCTGGAAGAAAATTAGCAAATCTGTGATGTCTAAACTTTTAAGACGTAACAAATCAATTAATTAAACAACCGCAATTGTAAATTTTTTGAAGGGTGACTAAGTTTATGTAAATCGTGATGGGTAATACCGAAAGCAATGTTACTAGTGGCGTTAAGAAGCAGGCAGGGGCTTCTATGCAACCTATCTACAAGTTATGCGATTTAAAAGGTAAAAAATTGTCAATTATATTTTTGTCTTGCAGTACTAAAAATGGTAAGTAAGTATTATGTGAAATGTATTCTGTGGAGCACGTATTTTGAGAATTGAGAAGTTTTTTGAACCTATCCATATTTTAAAGATAAACGTTACAGAAAGTTGTGGTTCGTCACTCTAGAGGTTGGAAAAAAAGATGATTTTAGAGAATTTTCAAGGAAAAATCGATACGAAATACATTGTTAGGAACATAAACATAAAAACACACCACAGAAATGAGACAACCCCCAAATCCAAAGCCAAAGGCTTGTGCGGAAGGGGGCTACACTTGAAAAAACGTGGACAAACACCCATTATCCATCGACATTGCCAGTGCCGACACCGGGGATCGAACCCGGACCAGAGTAGGAAGCCTAGCCGAGAAATGCTTGCCACCGCACTCTCGACCGACTGCGCTACCGTGGCGACAAAAAGGCTTTATTGTACATATTTTCAGGTAGTATTGTGAATTTTTCTTAATGATTTGTATTCAAAGTGGCTGCAAAATGACACCTTTTACTCGGAGGGCTGTATGGCCGGAAAGATCTCTTATTGATAAATGGTCGTGGAACAAAAAAACAAAAATTTTCTGATGTTATATACTTAAGGGGATTATAACACACCATCATATTTTTGAAAATTCATATTTTTGTTACTATTTGTCGGATTCGTTTCAAATTTGTAGTAATGATATAGAATTGTATAATCTAGGGCTGTGTGCATGCACATTTGAATATGTTTCATGAAACCGGAGAAAAAGAAAAAAAAAATCACAAAATATAAAGGTTTTGCAAAACCCATTCACATGCATCTAGAAAATGTAATTTACCATACTGTGTTAAAATTTAAATTGTTTACCTGCTGTCGTTTGTGTATAATAAATTTTCAAAATTCATGGAATTTTGTATCTGTAAAATGCTGCGATCTATTGGTACCGCTATGAACTACGGTATTCTTATGACCGGTACAGTCCCTGCTGCAAGTATACATTAATGTTGAAATTCATTTATATAATATTATTCGCATAGTTAAGCTCCTGGTGAAAAGAACTTTTTAAAATTTTGTGGTATACAGGGTGGAATAGATACAAAGTACAAAATTTAAGGAGATGAAAGTAAAAATAGTAAAAAAATTCCTATAAAATTTCATCCTCCGGAGCACCGTTATTGCGATATGGTCCTCCAACGGGGTCTTATCCTTTGGATATTTTTTAAAATAATTTTCTTTCTGATTAAGATATGGAATGAAAATTGTAGGTAGTAATTATACCATAAGAGCCTTTAACTATCATAAGTTTCATCAAAATCGGTTATAAATAAGAATAGTTTTCTAACTATCCTTAACGGAAATTTTTCGAATTTTTTTATTCCTTTAAATTATCAAGCAAATAAATTATTTTTTAATGAATTAAGACTTTTTTTGAAGAAAAAATGTATCTACCTTTTTTTCGAATTCTGCTTAGTTTGGTCAGAAATAATTATTTTTTAAATATTGTATGGCTCCGAACAATAACTTTTTTTTTAACATTTTCACATAGTAGGTACCTATCTTTCATTGTGACAGTTTCATAGTAATGATACTAATGATTATCTTTTTCGCGTGCTATCATTTAAATCCTTACGTTTCTTTATTTTCTTACTTGTGATCTTTGTGCTTGACTTTGCATTTCATTCGATTTTTTTACAACCATGTATCATCATGAGTTGAAAAATCCTAAAATTACTTCGTCTAAATGATGCGGTATGATACGATTATTACCTACAATTTTCATTCCATTATCTTCAGAAAGAAAGTATTTTAAAAAATATCCCAATTATATGTAGGGGTAATTAACGGTGCTCCGGAGGACCAATGTTTATACGAACTTTTTTGTATTATTTTTGGCTCTACTTTCAACTCCTTAAATTTTGTACCAACTTTTCCAAACACCCCAAACACCCTGTATAATACTTATTAACTAGAAAAGAAAACTAATATTACAAATAAACTATATTTACCTTGTATTTTTGCATTTAAACAATCTGCTGTTCACATAAATTTATTATACAGGGTGATTCACAACTTATCCAAAAAAATTTGGGAATAGATGCGCCATGAGAAATGGAGTCAATATTGTAAAAAAAAATTTTGTAAAATCCTTATAGTTTCTGAGAAAAAAATTATTGAAGTTATAGCACATTAAACCACTACATAGCTGAACAACTGTAGTCTCTAGCATCATTCGCCACGTGGCCTCATCGACTCCGAATACTGAATTCGGATTTTGCAATCGTCGTTGCGATATTTACCTGTTATCTGTGGTTTTTATAATACGTTTTTAGTAGTTGGTGTCAAAAATGGGTAGTTAGTGTCAAAAATGGTTTGCGTGTACTCGGAGTTGATGGATATCGTTTTAATTTATGGTGAAGCGTTTGTGTTATGGTGAAACAAGACATCATTTGTGTTAGTTCGTAGAAAGTGAGTAAGACGGACCCAAATGTGTTTACACGTGAGTGGATAAAATTTTGAACAATTGCTGTTGCAGCATCGGGTATGTCAAATGATTTTATTATTTAAAAACACAAATTAATTTTATTAATAATTAATAAAGGCAAAAGCATTTGAATTTGCCGATATAAAATAGGTGCGATAAAATTCTATTTACATATTTCTTTCCTTGCGAAAGTTTTTGTCCGTTTTTATCACGCCGCCATACCGGTCGCATTGTGCGAGGTCAGGTTTTACAGTGGACCAGTTTCCAGTGCCGTGCAGAAGTGTATTTTTAAATCAATTTCGAACTGACCTTTTTGATTTTTTCTTTACAAAATTGTATTTGTAAGGGTCCCCTGTATATCCAGAATTTTTTTTTGGATAAGTTCTGAATCACCCTGTATAGGTATACAATTAATTTTAATATGCAAAATTATTCCCACATTTTTTTATTCTACAGTTCATCTTGTCAGTCAAAAACAAATTTCTGTGCACAGCTTGCATTGTTCGATTAGAGAAGAATTATTTTCCATTCAAACACAAAAAAAAATGCTTTAAATTGAACAAACTATGGCGGAATAATTGAACGAAGCATGGGCTCTATTAAATTCAATTGCAATTTACACTGACGTCTAATCTCAATGTTTGGGGGTGCTATTATCCCCTTAAAGTTAGGGAACATGCAAGGGAAATTAAAAATAATAATGATAATAATAATCTTTATTGACCAACAGATAAACTCCATTTACAGGACAAATAACTAAAATCAAAAAACGAAATGAGTTATATCAAAATAGTTACATGTCCTTACTAAATCTTAGATTTATAGCTCTAATTTGATTTGATATCGTATTAAAATTATGACACGTAATATACACTGGAGACATCGTAAGACAATTAGAACTTGCTCTAGCACAGAAAAATGTGCGATTTCCACGAGCATTCTAATTTATTATGAAATAAATCAAATAAAATTTTGATACTATATAGAACTCTACGAAACTGCAGAGAAGCAAAATTGAATCTATTAAGTAAAATAGTATGATTATAACCTCTTTCAGGATAAAAGCCGTCTACTTTAAGTGATAAAAATTTTAAAAATCTTTGGATATTTTCAAGTGAAAGCTTTAGGTAGTCATAGCTCGGATACCACACTATTGAACAGTATGCCAGTAAAAATTATAGATACTCTTCAAGGCAGTTTCACTAGAAAATGACTGACAGTTGCGTATGATACAGTCTAGCATCATTAATGCAGACACAGTGATCTTGTCAATGTGTTTAGTAAATGTTAGCCATGAGTCAAACTAGACACCTAAGTCATTAATAGACTCCACCCTATCAAGTACTTCCGAATTTAGCGCGTAATAAAATGTTATTGGATGCAATTTGCGAGTATAAGTTACAACCTTGCATTTAATTGCAGACAGTTATAAGTACACCACTTGTCTAATAGTTGTAGTTGACTTTGCAACTCCTGACAGTGTTCAGTAACTGATACTTCACAAAACAACTTCAAGTCATCAGCAAATAACAGTTTTTTACAACTAAGCTCAGAAGACAGATGATTAATAAAGTACAAGAAAAACAGGGGCCCCAAATTTAACCCTTGAGGAACACCCGAGGTTGCTGTAAAAATATGAGAACTGTGTCCAAAATACGTAACATATTGCTTTCTTTCAAGAAGATATGACTCGGTTACATAAATTACAACTGGAGTATGAATGGAGTTAATAGGCATAAGTTAGACACCGTGGATCGCCCCTGCATGTTTTTGTAGCTAGATAAATACCATTGTAAATGGCTATTTCAAATATTTTCGAAAAATTACAAAGTGCTGAAATAGGGTGATAATTCTTGACCTCAGTTTTTATACCAGTTTTAAAAATTGGACACGCTCCCGATATCTTCGAAATGTCAGGAAATGTAGATGTTAAGTTCTATATAATAGAAATAATGGTTAATTTAGTGAACATTAAAAAAAATATATCGAAAAAAGACGAACAATTTTGCATTACATTGTTAATAACAATGATGATTGTTAATCAATCGAAAATCCTTTACAATGTTCCCTGAATTATAGTATTGTAAAGCTCTATAGAAAATTTCGTCGATTCATTGAAAACTTTTTGAGTTATGATTCCGGCCAATTAAAAAAAGTGGTTACTAGAAAAACGCTTTTAAAGCTTTTGTAGCCATTCAGCATAAAGAATTCGTTATATGTATACCTTCAATCAGTGATGCCTGCTCCGTATAATTGCCTTCTGTATTGATATTTTCTTCATCTTCGTTTTGGCATGATCTGAGACTCAATCTGGTTTCTAGAATAGCAAAGTATTAGGCGCGGGCGCAATCTCACGAGTTACAATAAGCATTTGATTTTTTTCAAAATTCTAGAGTGGCTTTACCCTTTCAGCTGTTGCACAACACGAATATATTGTTTGAGAGGCTTAGTATAAAAGCATTTGTTTACCACTTTTAGGTGGTGGACTACTTGTTGAATTAATGAAACGAGCAACTCAGAACAAACAGTTTGCAGAAATAGACCATGCAATTAAAACAAAAGTAAGTGCATACTTCAATTTTTCAAAAAATAAAAGGAATAAATATTGGTTTTAGGTGGAGCAGTTTTTATATAACAAAGGGGCTGGGAGATATATTCCCATATCAGACCTAGTCCTGCTTAGAAACAAAGAAAGACCTAGACATAAACTTGTAAGTTATGTTTTTAAATGTTCACTTCAGTAAATTTTTTATTATACAGGGTATTTCTGTATATATGCCCTTACTTGAGGAGGTTGTTCGTCAGAGTTTAGATCGAAAAGCACTAACGAACCACGTCTAAAGTCATTTTTGGTATCCATAATGTTAAAAGCTTGTTAAAGAATATATCTTATTTATTCAGAACACAAATTTGTCAACCATTTAAGGAGATAATAAAAAACTTACTAAAAACCCTAGAATACCTAATACCTAGAATACCTAAATTTATTTATAAGAAAATAGTATCTTTCCCTTTATTTGAGAAACAATTTATTTTCGAGTTTCTTTTTAAAATTTATTTTAAGATTGTGTAAGTTGTGTGAGAAGTAGTAACGTCACTAAGGAATTTAAAAGTAATTTAATTGTATTAAAAATATTAACATATTTCATTTTATTGCAAGTAAAAGGTAGACATTAGCTTATATCTGTATCGTCAAAATGATTTCGGTAGCAGTTTTGTTAAAATACATTTATCAGTGAAAAGTGCAACATATTCTGGTTTATCATACATTAGAGTGCAAGTTAAAACAGACCCTCTTATAATTTTGTAATCCATGGGGTTTTTGATTGGTTCTCGTATTAGCAGTATCGTACTGTTGAAGGCTCCAAAGGCTGCTATGAGTTATTCCAATTCGCAAAAGAAAATGTTGGATTCGGAGATCTTGATAGACTATTTTAACATCAATAAATAATAATAATATTAAACAGCCTCCTGATGTTATGACATAAACTTAGAAAATGCACTGCAAAAAATGTTCATTTATAGTTACCATCTTTAAAAGCAATGGAGAACCCTGATGAGTATGAGATTAAGGATGAAGGTCCTGAAATTACGGAAGAAGAATATAAAAAGAGTAAGATAATTCTTTGCATTTCATCCCCCTTGTGTAAAATTTTAACTAATACAAGCTGCCAAATTATCTATATTTGTAGATCCTCATCTCTACAGACACGTATGTTGGAAACTAAAAGATAGAGGAGCAGTTGGAGAAACAATATTACATCTTTGTCTTCTTAATGCCACTTCGTTACATGCTGATATTGCCAAGCGCCTGTTGAGATTCTACCCAAAGCTAATAAATGATATTTATATTTCCGATGAATATTACGGTAGATAATTTCAGAACTTACAATGACTGTATCTAATAACTTTATTTAGGAGAAAATGTCCTGCATATTGCTATCGTAAATGAAGACCCATCGATGGTGAAGTTTCTACTGGATGCAAACGTCAACTTCCAAGAACGTTGTTTTGGGAATTTTATGTGTCCTGAGGACCAGAAATCTTCAAGGACGGATTGTGTGGACCACGAGTGGGTTAATGTTTATCCAGAGACAAATTATGAAGGGTAATAAGTTTATTACCTTATTACGTTTTTATCAGTTTAATGAATACTAAATTCTTTTTCTAGTTATGTGTACTGGGGAGAATATCCTTTAACTTTTGCAGCTTGTTTAGGTCAAGAAGAATGCTTTAGACTGATGTTATCAAGAGGGGCAGATCCTGATGCACAAGATACTAACGGCAATACCGTTCTACATTTACTTGTTATATACCAAAAACTAGTAAGTTTCTTAGAATTTATATGACATTATTAATTTAGCTGTAAACCCGATGTGGACATTTGTTGTATTATTTTAGGAGTTCTTTGATACTGCTTATGAAGTTGGATCAAGCCTATCGATTAGAAACGTTTTAAATTTGACACCACTAACTTTAGCTGCAAAATTAGCTAGAATTGATATGTTCTTCCATATTTTAAATTTAGAAAGAGAAATATATTGGCAAATAGGTAAAATTTCTGAACAATAATCGGTTAGTTTATGAATATATGAAAATATTTCAGGTAGCATAACGTGTGCGGCTTATCCTCTATCTCAAATAGATACTATCGATATGGAAACAGGTCACATTAGTAAAACGTCAGCTTTAAATTTGGTAGTTTTTGGAGTAAGCACGATATTGTCCAGCTATTGCTATTTTTTTATATTGATAAATTTCAGGATAAAGACGAACACTTGGAACTTATGGATGGTGTATTAATTGATTTGTTAAATGCTAAATGGAATACATTTGTAAAATTCAAGTTTTATCGTCAATTTTTCACTTTTGCTTTTTACTTTTTAATATCCCTTGTAGCGTTTACCTTAAGGCCCGGACCACCAGTAAATACTGCTAAAGCAGCAAATGCCACAAATGCAACTCTTTCTCATGTGGCAAACAAAACCAACTTAAAAAATATTTCTGTAGAAATCATAAATTTACTTAATGATACACATATACCTATAACCCATAAAGGTATTACCAATAAAGTTAAGTTTTTTAAGTCATTTTAATTATATGTTTATTAGAAAATGATGATGACGATGATGAATATGATGTGGAGGAGTGGTGGGACAACTTACAAGAAGAATGTCGGTTAATGCAATTAGAAACACCTGAAGCAAAAATTAGGTTGGCTGCTGAAGTAGCCATAACAATCGGAGCTTTTCTGTATTTAGGAGCCGCTATTCGAGAAGCTAGATTTTTAGGAACCAGGATGTTTTTTGAGAACCTTGTTAGTGAATAGAATTAGTTTTACTTTGTTCTCAAATAGCACTATTAAATCAATATTAATCATTTAATTACACAGGGTGTCTGGAAGAGAGTGATCATGTTTCAAAGGTAGCTTCTTTGGATGAAAATGATATTTGAATGAAATATTGCAACCAGATGTTTGGGGTAGCTGAAAATGAACAAACATAGGTTTTTTTCTTAATTAAAGCGTAGAATTTGCTAATACCTGAAACGGTACATTGTTTTTTGCATATTATTATTTTTTGGTAGAGACTTGCAAAAAAACATATATTTTATGTATTCTTACTTTTTTACTTTAAACAAAATAAATTTCAGAGAAAAACAAACATCAATATTCGTTGTAGTTATCAATTATGGTGAGCTCAGTATTTAGAGGAATTCTAATTAAATTTCGCCCTTTTGCTAAAATTGTCTATGTTAAATAGTTTTTAATAATTTGGACTCAAATATCAACACATACTGAAATAGAGTTTTTTAAATGTTATTTCGCAGAACCATATTTCATTAGACGTTGACATTCGATTAGATGCAGATAGAAATTAGTCTAAATCTTAAAAAGTAATTAATAAATATAACTACAAATTTAGCAAAAAGGTAAGGTTAAAAATTAAACAAAAATATCGTTAAACACTTCTGTAGGTAATAATGGCAACAGAAAATTGAAATTCATTTTACTCTGGTACAATGTATTTTAACGACATAAAGTATACGTTTCTTGCGGTATGTCTCAAAATCTCTACCAACAAAAGAAATAATACAAAAAACAAAAGACTGTTTCAGGTATTTTTAGAGACCTCTATACTTTAGGTAAGAATTAAGCATATTGTCATATAATTATTTAAAGTTGACATTGTACTTTTGCATGAAATGTAAAAATTAAGCAACTAATCTTAAAAAAAGCTACTCATTTTAGAGGACGTCTCCATCTCGAGTAATGTTCTTGTTTTCCTGTATTTTGATGCTTATTATACCTTGGCTAAGACTTGCTTGTGAGGATGAAATTGAGGATACCGTAGCCGTCATGGTTATGTTGACAACTGCTCCATATTTTTTATTCTTCTGCAGGCAAATATTATAGAAAAATATTCTTACTCAGACATTGGTTTATGTACTGCTTTTCAGGGGTTTCAAAACTGTAGGTCCATTTGTTGTTATGATATACAGAATGGTTATGGGTGATTTAATCAGATTTGCTTCTATTTATTTAGTATTTGTAATGGGCTTCTCCCAAGGTAAAGAAGTAAAGTTATATTATTTTAAATATACTCAAAATTTTTTTTTTTAGCGTTTTACATCATATTTTTGTCATTCGATAATCCATTAACACCTGAAGACGTGGATGATTCAGCAACGAATCCGATGTCAACACCAATTGAATCTATTATGGCTATGTTTCTGATGTCCATGACTAATTTTGGAGAATATTATAACGCTTTTGCTCGCACAGAACACGAATATGAAGCCAAGGTAAGGGTTCTTGCCACAAAAGCAATTTGTATTCTTTGTACAAGGTATTTCAAAATATCTCTGAGGATGCTTAAGGTAGACTGATAAAACTCCAGAAATTCGACGCAACAAGATATCCCCCTAAAAAGTTAGTAAATGAATGGGACTATTTAGACATATTTTTTAAAAGGAAAAAATTTAATCGAAAAAAAATTATACGAGTATTTCAACCCCTTACAAAAATATTTCAGGGTTGAAAAAATTTCAAAAAGTTAGTTTTTTTGACAGATAGTGTTCACCAAGTTTGGTTTCTTTAGATTGATATACATGGGAGATAAAAAATAAAAACAATATATTTTTTTAATTTTTGAAGGGGCGTAACTTTTCAGGAAAGAATTTTTTTCAAAAAATTTTATACCAAAGACCCCTGTTCATTTTTATCAGAGAATCGCCCCTTACATTTTTTCGGTGTTATTTAGAAACACCCTATATATTAAACATTTTCAACACTGTGTATCTTGAAAACGAAATGTTTCCAAATATTTACTTATAGGACTTTTTTCTTATTTTGATCACTTGAATGCAAATTTTTAGTTTGGTCAATTAATCGTGAAACACCTTGTATATTGTTTGCAGATCCTTTTTGTTATATTCATGGCAATTGTGGCGATCCTGCTTATTAATATGTTAATCGCTATGATGGGAAACACTTATCAAAAAATTGCCGAAACTCGAAATGAATGGCAAAGACAGGTATAGAAAAAAAAGTAATATCTTCAATAACACATATGATTTAAATTTCTAGTGGGCAAGAATAGTTTTAGTTGTAGAAAGAGGTGTTAGTCCTCCTGAAAGACTAAGGCAGTTAATGGTATACTCTCAACCGATGTCTGACGGAACAAGAGCTTTAGTCTTGCGTTTAAACCAATCGGTAGAAATACCTACATAGACCCTTTTTAGACATGTGTTTTTGCTCATTTTTAATGTTGTAGGATGAAGATAAAGAAGAAATGAAAGAAATTTTGGAAATGAAAAGAAGACATGAGAGAAATATAAAGAAGCGAAAGGAAAAACTTCAAGAAAATTTAAACTTAAATGCACCCGTTCCACCACACATGAAATTAAAATAGATCAAGTATAAATTAAAAATGCTATCTGGCAAATCTGTGTAATTTATAAAAAAAAAATAGTATCTAATATATTTCTGTTAGTATTATTAGAATTACCAGTTTGAATACGATTTTTTTTCTTGAAGTGCTTTATCAAACATTGGTTACTATTGGTAGGTAGTTTACTAGTTAACTATTTAAACTGTGTTGATAAAAAAATATTGATTTTACACTATTATTATAGACCGATCAAAATAACTCATTTAGAGGGGAAAAAAAAGAAAATTGTTATCTGGACCTTTATAAGTGGAAATGGTAAAGGGGCTTATAATAAACGAAAAAAAAAATAAATGCGTAAGCAGGGGCGGCGGAGGGTTAATTTGGGGGGTTGAAAAGTTATGAAAAATTGTATCATTGGGATTTCTGGCGAAAGTTGACGTCAAACAAAAAAGTATCCAATACAAAAGTTGTAGATCATGCAAAAATCTACAACTTTTGTAGAAGTTATTTTTTAACATAACCTCAATATTTCCGAGAAAAATGCGAAAAACAGTTTTTTTTCTGATTTTTCGTTTTTTATTTCTCATTTCCGCAAAAATAATTTAATTTTGACGAAACTTTTTTGACAAAAAAATGAAGTTTTTGAGATTAATTTTTTTGGGCTGAAACACTTTTTTTTCAAAGAAAAATTCTACTTAAAAAAATCATCGTACAGAGTTCTGCCGGTAATAATTTTTTTCGTTTTGACATATACTTTGTGATGAAATAAAAAAATCTGTGATAACAGTTCAAAAACATGCTCAAAAATGCAAAAAAAAAATAAAAAATGACGCAACAATGAATTTTTCAGTAATTGTTGATAATTTTTTTAAATTTAAAAAAAATAAAAACTGACTACACCATTCAATTGTACGGAAAAAATACAAAAAAAACTGTCTCATTGTTTGACCCAAAACTATTTTTGTACAGTATTGCTGTAAACATAAGTCGAATAGTGAATAAATAAAATAAATAATATTTTTTTTCCGTAGGATTGATTAGTGTAATTTTTTTAAAGTTTGATGAATTCATAGATATACAGTGTGTCCAAAATAAGGATGGAATACCATTAGAATCTAGGAAACTAAAAATTTTTTAATTTTTTCTGGCTTTATTTGAAAACGAATTTTAAAATAAATTCCATATTACAATGCCACTTTTTTCGCTCTATACAATGGCGTCAACATTTTTGCAATCCGACGTTTCATCTTCGAGGGGCCATCATAGTTAATTTTTTTAAATACGTCGCTGCTATTTTTATAATAAAATCTAGTCATTTTTAATTCTGAATTAGAGGATATTACTATTGTAATTGCATAAAAAGTTTTTAGCTTGTTTTAGCTATATTTTAAAAATTTTTCTGAGTACGGCTCTGAATGCTTTCAAAATATCTATTGGATGAAGTCATAACAGTATAAAAGTCAATACCGCACAAAATATCCTACAATTTTTTACTACTGTTAGCAATAGTAATTAGAAATAATAAAATATTTCATAAATTCGTATTATTTTTGTATTAGGTACTTACAACTTTTTAAATTATGGATTAAAAAATTTTTTTGGATATTTTGTGCTGTATTGACTTTTATTCTCTCCTCTCTCGGATTTCGCGTCAACAGTACACTTTGCAGTTAATACTTATTTGTATTGCTGAAATCTCAAATTATCCGGAGATAATTTATCATTTATGCATTTGTAATTCGACTTAGATATTTCTAGCAATACTGTACAAAAATAAAGTTTTGTGTCAAACAATGAGACGTTTTTTTTTCCGTAGAATTGAGTGGTGTAATCAGTTTTTGAATATTTTTTAATTTAAACAAATTATCAACAATAACTGAAAAATTCTTTGTTGCAAGTCATTTTCTATTTTTTTGCATTTTTGAGCATGTTTTTGAACTGTTATCACAGATTTTTTTATTTCACCAAAAAGTATGTCAAAACGAAAAAAATTATTACCGGCAGAACTCTGTACGATAATTTTTTTAAGTAGAATTTTTCTTTGAAAAAAAAGTGTTTCAGGCCGAAAAAAGTGAATATCTCAAAAACTTCATTTTTTTATCTCAAAAAATTTGAGGTTATTTAAGACGGAGAAAGGTATACTTTCACCAAGTTTCGTCAAAATTAAATTATTTTTGCGGAAATGAGAAATAATAAACGAAAAATCAGAAAAAAACCTGTTGTATTTTTCTCGGAAGTTTTGAGGTAATGTTACAAAGTGACCTCTACAAAAGTTGTAAATTTTTGCATGATCTATTGATCTACAACTTTTGTATTAGATTGTCGAGGAATATGATCGATGGGACCGACCATATTGACATGGGCCCTCGGTGGAGACATCGGAAGTTCGAATCGAGCCCCACGTTGGGCGCCATGTCGAGGAATATGATCGTAATGATCGGCCACGACGGCATGGGTCCTTGGTGGAGACCTCGGGAGTTCTAATCGAGCTCCACGCTGGGCGCCATGTCGCGATATATGACCGTTTGTGCCTAATATTTGAGAATTGTGCGGGGAATTTGTAACATGGGCTCGCCGCGAAGACGTCGAAGCAGGACTTCGAGCCCCACGTCGAGCGCCATGTCGTGAAGTATGATCTGAATGTTGTGTTTGGTCGGCATGGGTCCTCAGTGGAGGCATCGGGAGTTCTAATCGAGCTCCACGTTGGAAACCATGTCGCAACCTGTGATCTGGGATGTTAGTTCCCTTGACCGGGTTCCGCGGCAGGAACGCACGGAGTTCACGGGGATCGTCGCTATCGACGCCCGGTCGCACTATATTCTCTGACGATTGGAATCTGTGGTGGATATGACCTACAGACGTGGTGTCTAGGACACGAGCTCGCGGGGGAGATCTCGACGAAGAAGGTCGAGCTCCGCGTTGAGCGTCGTGTCGGGTTAGACTTTCTTGATATGGACCACTTAGGCGATGATCGTATGTTCGGGGGAAATCATGAGAATGGACGGGCGACGTACAAGTATTGTTTTGATAAAAAAGGNAACTTAAATCAGCTGTTTTAGCTGTATACTTTAGGTTATATTTTTATTTTGTTTGTTTTCAAAATTTTAAATTAAAATGTACAATAATAATCCATAATAATAATTAAAGTGAGCCAATTCCAAGCTGCTCCCGAGTTTAGCGACGAATTTTTATTACAGTGTATCTCCAATTACAGACCACTATGATAAATCTGACAGATTATAAAATTGAAAAAAAATGTTGGGCTCACTGAAACGAGCTTCACGAAGAAAATTTTCATAAAATTCATGATTTCTCCGGGCCGTTAGAATTGGTCTTACTCCCCCAAGACCCAGAAGTCTTTTAATGGAGTTTTTTTGCTCGAATTGCTATAATAGCTGTCTTTTTAAGTAACAACAACAACAGCATTGTTACCTGTAAAAGAGGGGATAACAAGTTTCCCATTCTTCCATCGTGGTTAATCAACATAATGGTTAAACTAATTTCAAAATTCCATAAAATTAAAATTATGTTGACATTTTATTAAAACAATCATATTGCGCATATCCCGTAACCGGCACGGAAGTCGGCACGGACGTCAAAGTTTGCAGCTTGCGAGGTTTCACGCGCACTTCAACTCGTTTGCCAGCTCCAGATTTTATTCTGAACGGCTACATTGAAATGCGAAAGGTAAGCACGCGTGGCCAAGTCAGACTTCGCTGGACTTCGCCCGCGAATTGATTGTGAATGGGGTTTAAATAAAACAAAAAACACTAGAATTCATAATGAGTAAAGGCAAGTTCGATATTAACATCTAGATGCTCTAGATGTATCTCTTTGTCTTTTCATCTTATACAATTAGAAAAGAACAAAACACATCTGGAGCGTCTAGACGTTAATACCGAACTTACCTTAATTACCCAAAATCACAGCAAAATTTTGAAATCAGTCAACAAGGTAAAGTTATAATCGCAGATTTTATAACTGTGTAAAATATTTGTAGAACTAGTTTCGTAAATGCGAAATAAAATGACTGAACATGGTGCTGCACTACAGACTTATAATCAAGAATTAGTAAAATGTAAATAAGATATTTAAGCGGTTGATATTTTACTTGTAACCTCAATTTTAGGTTTAGAAGATTTAAAGTTTAAGAGAAATGAAATTGTTGATGTAATATACAAAGAAGAAGCTGAAAAGGTAATTTTAGAAAAAAAAATAGAAGCACTACAAAATAGGTTAACACTGTTAAATAAAAGTTTAGAACATCATAAATACATGTATGAAAGTTATGATAAAACAATTAAGGAAACTGAAGATGGTTTTAAAAAGGTATGTAAATCAATATATACAACACTAATAAAGGCAAAGTTTAGCTGAATTTTTAGATTTTGGAAAGCAGTCAAGCCCTCTTACATTTAGCTCAACACGAAGCTAATAAATTAGATTGTAATACAAATTCTAAAAAAGAAATTATTCCACAATACAATAACAGTAATGTATATGATGCTATTTACTAACAGTCCTTATATTATTTAAAACTAATTTATTATTGTTTAAATTTTTCTTATATGAATTTTATATTAAAAAAAATTAACAAACTTTAAATGTTTTATTTCAACAATACATACAACTTAAGAAATACTACAAATTCTACCTATCGGAAAAAAATACAAGATAAATATTCATGCATTTCCTAAACTGTTTTGTTCTGCCCATATCGTGACTAATTCTTCTGGATCACCATACCCATGAGAAGCTATCGTATATTCAAAATTAAGTTTGTTATATGCCTTCCGGTAAAAATGAAATTCATCGCAATGCAGTGGTTCAATTTTAGCTTTATATGCTAATAAGCCAACATAAATGTCATCAAATCTAAAATGTTGAGTGTAGAAACTAGAGTAGTACATGTCTGTCAAAGCAGATCTTGATAAAATAAATGCTCCGGCAGTTACATAAGGTGGCCACATGTGGTACGGATATTCTTGTAAAGAAACGTACCACTTACTGAAATAATTTCTAAGGGGAGCTGACTTGAAAACGTAACCAGTATATAATTTTACGTCATCTGATTGTCTACTATATCTTGCTAATGAGCTTTCCACATTTGCCATAGGTTCTTTGAGATATTGAGGATATTTTGTTGGAAAACGTAAAAACCTCAAAACGTTTTTAGTTGAAATATAATAATCATCATCAGCAAACAAATAAAATTTTGAGTCAGGACAAAATTTTATGACCCACTGCATACCCATCATTGTCTTATATGTATTATTATAATACGTGTCCGAAAAATTTGCTTGAACAATATCAGAAAACTTACGATTCTCTTCATCAATTAACTTCTGTAGTGACTCAGACTCCCTTAATCCAATCAAAAATACTGTTCTTATTTCAATATCAGCAAATCTGCGTTCATACCCCCAAGATTTACGTATAATTATTCTGCGATAAAAATTGTGTGGATCAGATTTGATCAAATACACTAATCGTAAATTTTGAACATCAGTACATTTTTTACTGCAGTTCTTATAGTACTGAAAATGATACGAGTTTATAGGCTTCATATCCGGTGTAACATCTTTTTTTAATTTTTGTATAAACATTTCTATATCACCATCATATGGATAATGAAAATCGTTGTAGAAGTCACTTTCGAATGCATGGTGAAATATTCCAAAGAGATACAAAAGTGAAAGTATAATTAAAATAATTAAAGCACGTTTTAGTCTTCTATGAGTTGAATAAATCATATTTTATCGATATATTCCACTCTTGACGGTGATCACTGTGACACATTGCTTAACTAGATTAAAATTAAAAGTTATTTTTAGTACCTATAACCTACAGAGCCTACTAAATACGTAGGTAATTAAAAAATTACAATATAATGATATACCTAATGGTTAATACTGTTGCCGTTGAACTTTTTCTTACTAGTCTAGATTAATAAACATTAAGTTTATTATCAACATTATTTATTATAAGTAAACATGAATAAATAAAGGCTTCCTAACCTCAAATAATTGAGTGTGTTCCTCAGACTAATTATTTATTTCTCTGAGGTGTGTTCCAAATTCATGTTTAATTTCCATGGATTTCCAGATTCCAATGACGTTCTTTAATTTGTTATTGTCATCCAAGATCGCTAAAAAAAAAGCTTGATCGTCATCCACAAAATTTACGTTCAATTATAGTGAAAATAATATACCTATGGTAGAAATAACAAATAACTAGGACAACTAAATTATTTATATATCTTTCATGACTTTTTTATTTGCCTAACCAAATAAAAAAAATATGACGCCTATATATTTTCAAAAAAGTAATTATTGTAATGGGCATCTTGGCATTGCACCTAGCCAATTTGTAAAAAACATCTCTAGCTAATCTAGTGAAATCTGAATGGGGAAATTTTCCAGTTTATAAGCTAATAAAGTACCTATATATAGGTCAGTGTTTTAAAAAATATATATTAACACGGCTTATTATTTTTACTTTGGTATTATACGTAATAAATGACGGTTCAATATAATTAATTTTAATTAGGTTTAGGTAGGTATACAGGATTTTTCAGTATTGATCGCTCAGATGTAAGATTTGAATTCGGGTGGCGAAAATGGGTAATAAAAAAAGTTCTAAAAGAAATGTCTGGAGCCGCATTGTTTTCAAGATAAGTAAGGTACCTACATACTCTGAATGCGTTTTATATCAATTAGGTATCAAATGATGAAACTTGCGTAAATGATTTATGTGATTAAGTTAAAAATCTGCCGAATTCATAAAGGTATAGGTAGGTACACATCTATAAAGAATGATGGACCAAATCCTACCTAGGTCTGTAAAATCCTCAAACAACATAAACGAGAGATCCTGTAATAGGTTATTGTAGTCCTAGATAAATGATACTAATTGTAGTAAGTACTCGATTCATATTTGATTGTACAATGTATGTACTTGAAAATAAACAGGATTAGGAATGCTCATAGCTTTACGTACTTGTACCGTACTTACCTATATAATAAAAACATTATTATAGATATCTATTTAGAAAAAAACATGTGTTTGAAGTCTCGAATCATCAGAAAAATATGAATAAGAGAAAATAAAAATAAATTTTTTATATCATTTATATCATTTCAGAATTAAGTTTTTTTTTTAAGTAGGTACCTACTTACCATCGAAATTAATCCCACGTACCTATGTACATATAAATTGAAATTAATAAAGCAATGATAAATTCATTTCTACGGTGTACTGTGTACATGAAGGTAAAGGTTTACTACTTTTACTAGTACTAGTAACAGAAGTAACAGAACTTGTCTAAGTAAATAATTACTCCTACTTACATTAGTTACAAATGTTATAATCGTATCAGTAAAATTCTTATAAAAATTATTTTGTTTAGCATGTGCTGCCATCTATAAGGCAGACCAGGAATATTTCCCTGGGTGTTGTGACATTGTTTATAAAATCTGATACATTTTACTGGCTGTAGTGCAATAACTTTTACATATTAGAGGCTTGTTTGGAGTTATATCAATTTTCGCTGTGTAAGTAAACTTTGACCATTAATAGTTCCACAAAATCTACAACAAAATATGCCATGTATTCGGCCATGTTTACCGTATTGAAAGTAGGCTGTGTGTTTATTTGTACTTTTTGAGTGAAAACTTTTCTTTGTGGTTCTCAAAAGAGGCTGTGTCTTTTCTGAGTTTTCTGGCATAACTATGGACACCACGGATAGAGGTAAGTGACAAATTTATGTTAATATTCCTGTTAAAAAGTAATGTCTAATGTCATAAACCGAAAGGGCAATGGCAAAGTCAGGGTCGACCTATTTGGTTCAGTGACCGCATTTCCCAACATCGAGACCACGGTGCCTTTAAATTGATATAATTAAGTCAGTCTCAATCCATTATTTGCATTATCGATCGTCAAAACATTGTTTTTGCGGTAATATTAAAACGAAGATAAAGCCCACGATGTAGCGTATAGCCGTATATTTTTCAATTGAATTTTATTTTTGATTATTAAGTTTTTTGGTTTTTATTTGAAGATGATTTGTACTCATTCGATGCTTCTCTATAAGAAAAATGTTAGTTATATAAAAATACAAGGAATGTGACAAATTACTGGTTTTGTGAAGTTTTCTATAACCTTCAAGGGCTTTTATGTCTCGCTTAAGACGATAGGTGTCGCCAGTGTATAAATTTAAATTATTGAACAGATAGTGTCTGAACATATTTCATTTGGTTTTAGATTTATTTTGTACTGCCATATTTTTAAATATGGCAGTTTAGTGTAATTAATTAGGTTTCTAAATAAAAAATAATAAATGACTGCTAAAATAAAAATAATGCGTCTATTGAAAAATGTAATGAATACAATGGCTACAGTGGCTTTTTTAATTTTATTTGTCTTTGGATTTCCATGATAAAGCGACTTATTTTTCCTTTCGTTTTCCAATTTATGTACTTGTCTAGATTCCATATGACTAAAATATGTACATATTTCTCTAGATTGTGCTTATTATTTAAATACAAAGTATTAAACAAAATAAAATGATGGTAACTAAGCGCGTTCACCAAAAATTTGAAAATTATAGATACTACAGTACTACAGTGTTGCTGTATGCTGTAATAAGTTACCACCTACCTATTACAGTGGCTGCCACATTGATTATATGACTGATATTACTAAGGACTGATTACGAGTGTATTGTGTATATACCTACATCTATACCCCTATTTAAGACCAGTGCCCATTTCAGTTTAATTAGGTAAATTATGTTTTAAACAGTGGTGTAACTTGTAACCTACATAAGCATATCTCAAATCATAAATAAACGGGATAATCTTAACCATTTCATTTTCTACATTGTGCTTTTTTACATCATCACTGATCATTTTTTATTTAATGTGTTTAACACCACTTCCAGGTTGTTTTGAACGTTGATAAAAATAAAGCTGAGTATTAACAATTTATCTGCATCTGACATGAATTTTTATCAATTTGGTGTACTACGGGATTTTAATTACAACTGGAATTGCACTATATTTTAAAATAAAGTCCAAAAACAGTCATGATTGAAAAAATAGGAAACATATTTGTCTATTAATTTATTATAAGAAATTCAACTAGAACCTCATGATGGGGTGAACTACCTAAGAAAGAATGCTCTTGCAACACTATCGCAGAAGAGCCAAATTTGGTACATGATTTAGGTTTATAACTGCTCTTCTTTGACTATTATTTAAAGTTAATTTAAGCACTACAAGGTGTTCATTGGGGATGACACCCCTAACACATCTTTTTTTCATTGACCGAATTGAAAAATAATAATATTAATTCACAGCAGAATTTAATTTTAAAAATTTTTTTCCTCTTGTTAAATTTTGAAAAAGTTTATGGTTTTCAAGAAAAACCGTATTAACTGAAACAAGATTTTAACAGTGTTTATTAGAAAATAATTGAAAAGTCAGTAGTAGGCAATGAATTTATCTTTCAATCTTGGCAGTTAGTAATAAAATTATTTTATTTCAACAATTGCCTCTGATTGTTGTTGAAAAAATATCAGTTATTATTTTTATTATTTATTTGTGTTTTTTACTTAATACAATATTTGCTTATTTAAAAACTACCTATAGGTACTTGTTTTCTTTTTATATAATTAGGAGAGAAGTGAAGTAAAATTTATTTGGCTAATTGTCAAATTCGAAATATAAAGCCTACTACTGACTTTTTATTATTTTCTAATAAACACTTGTGAAATCTTGTGTCAGTTTTTAAAATTTAACAAGAGTAATTTTTTTTTAATTTAAAATTAAATTCTGCCATGAATTAATATTATTTTTCAATTCTGTCAATGAAAAAAAAGTTCGGTACAATTTTAGGGGTGAGTCACTCCCAATGAACACCTTGTAGTGCTTCAATTAGCTTTAAATCATAGTCAAAGAAGACCAGTAATAAACCTAAATCATGTACCAAATTTGGTTCTTCTACGGTAAAGTGTTGCAGAGATTTTTTTCAAAATTTAAGGCCCCACTTTGGGGGCTAATAACTCCTCAGGGGTGCAATTTTGTATATGGATAAGTTTGGTTAAAATCAATACTAATAATCTAATATTAATCCAATTTTTTTTTCATTAACACCATTACTAATAAGAAGAATTGTAGATAGAGGAGTAGTAGTAGGAATATTTTGGACACCTCTACATGCACGTGCCCTGTGTCGGTTCTTATGCGGGACACCCTGTATATCTAAATAAAGTCAATATAAAAAATAAATGTCGAAAAATTACAGTGTTTTATTTTTTTCTATTATTTTTAATGGTGGTGCTTTTTTATTTGAGCTTTTTTCATATGTTTTAATTAGAATAGTTTTATCATTATTTTCCTATAAAGTTTTTTTTGGTAATACTTGCTGATTTTGAATATATTTTTAATTAGCGCGATTAGAATTGTTAAAAGTTCCACATGTTTTTCTAATGTTTTTTTTATTTCAGCAAGATTAAACTTTTTTGTTATCCTCCTCCTAAATATTTACGCTTGTTTGATATTTAGACAAGCAAAAATTATTATTAGGAAAGTTTTTTTTTTAAAGTTATGAACAAAAGTCTTCCGTATTTAGTGTAAACTGTTTAATAGCTATTGTATAATTTTTAAATAATAATGTTTTATTAAATATTTACGTTAGAGACATTAATAACAAACTTAGGAAATGGTGATTGAAAAATGGAAACTCTTATACATAGCTTATATCTTCTCAAACTGAAAAACCAGGAAATACCAAGGATTTTTTATTTTATTTACAGTAACAACTTTTTTTATCTATATACTAAATTTTAGTATAAACTTTGTTAATTTTTTTATTTAATTTGCCAAAGACGTGAATTTTTCTTTAACATTTCGATAACACATGCTTCCAAATCTGTCAACTTGGTTTGTACAAGCCTGACAAGCCAAGTCGGTCTGCTTGGATGATTGTTTGTCGTCTCTAGATTTAATATTCATATTTTGCAGTATCCATCCTTCGTGTATCGTAAATTTTATTTGTCTTGTCAAAATATCAATTTCAATAAACAGAAGGTTTTTGAATCCTGCTGCGTGCAGTTACAAAAACCTGCAAGCAGAAGCGAATCCTAAATCATGTCTCGTGTAACATAATCGTCACTCCTAAAATGTCGGTTTTTCCGCCCCCTGGGCTGGAACGGAGCGCGAGTATAGCAGGAAAGAAGGGTGTGTACTATTAGTCTACGACGGGACCTTGACACGCAAGCCAGGACGTGCCAAGGTCAAGGTCAGTGCAACCGACTCGATACTGCAACTAGGTCAGATGCGCTCCGCCGTCGAACTAGCAGCGGGCTCGTAACAATGCACCAGGAATGGGTTCTTTTATTTTTGATGCCTTTGTCCGAAGTGTTTTGTGATGCAGAATACTGCCGTGCGAGATAAAGAGGGTTTCCTGTTATGTCTAATCGGCATGAGAACCAGAGTTGTGGTTGTAAGACACAATGAAGAATGTAATTGCAAATTTGGGGCTTATAAAATTTGCATTGTATCGCGTATGGCGGCAAAGATTCGTTTCGATTTAAGGGTATTAAGGACCGCTATTTGTGAGGGTATTTGACAGTGTTGGGTTGGCACAGACCACTTATTTCTGATTTTGACTAGGATGGACTCATTTCTCATTCTGGTTAAAGTTCGTGTTGAAATGGTATGAACCTTCATGGTTTTTTTGACAACAAACATAATTTTTCTCTGCTTTCGTTCTGTCGGCTAAGGGTTGTTTTTACGAAATTATTTTTACCTTATCAAAAATCACAAAATTTATATCGGTATATTTTTATTTATCCTCTTTGCCGTAAACATTTTAATTTTTTTCGCAGATAGCGAATATACAGGGTGAGTCATTAATAATGGTACACAGCTTAATGGCAGATTGTTAACGTCAACATATACCGATTGAGCCAAACATGCTCTAATCAATTGTTGCTCCTTTTCGTTCTACCGGGTGTTAAAAGTTGAAAAATATTTTCGATTTTTTGCTATATTTTATGTGTGTATGTATGAACCGATTGTGTTGAAAATTTGTAGTTTACGTTTTTTGAGGTGGCAAATACGAATACGCAAACAGTGTTGGGGTCACGTCCAGGGGGCGCTGGTTGTACTGTCCTATCAATGTAAAAATATGTCTAACTTTTTATATTTTACAATTTTGAATTTTTTATCTAGAAATTATTGAACTATGTTCAATTCTAAATAAAAAAGGTATACTTGTTACAAATCGATAAACTCGACTGCTTTCGAGATACAGACGTTTAATGTTTTTGAAATTCAGCAGGAATTAAATTAGAAAATTAGCAAGTCTTAACATACCAAGCCTCAATTAGGAATTAAGACAAACATTACAGGAAATGAAAATTTTATTATATCTTAACAAAGTATTAATCAGAAAATATTCTCAATGAGCATATCATAATATTCGCGATTGTTAAATAAATGCTTCATTTTCAAAAGAAAACAGCACAGCAATCACTACAACAATGTATTCATTACAAACTGACTACATATATTTATTTCAGCAGTTCCAAAACTGTTTTAAATACATTTTTTAATTGGCTTTTTTCTTTATGACCTTAAACTTCCGATACAAGTTTGTGACATCAGTTGTTAACTCAATTTTTGCTCCTTTTTTACCTCTTTAAATTTTTTACATAAGTTCATCAACACCATGCTCTAAGCTTA